GGGGCCCATAGGGGCTATGGGGCCTATAGGGGCTATGGGGGCTATGGGGCCTATAGGGGTCTGCAGCCAGCCCTATAGCCAGGTGAGCCTATGGGGCCTATAGGGGCTATGGGGCCTTTAGGGGCTATGGGGCCCATAGGGCCTATAGGGGTCTGCAGCCAGCCCTATAGCCAGGTGAGCCTATGGGGGCTATAGGGGCTATGGGGCCCATAGGGGCTATGGGGCCTATAGGGGCTATAGGGGCTATGGGGCCTATAGGGGCTATGGGGCCCATAGGGCCTATAGGGGTCTGCAGCCAGCCCTATAGCCAGGTGAGCCTATGGGGGCTATAGGGGCTATGGGGGCTATAGGGGCTATGGGGCCTATAGGGGCTATGGGGGCTATGGGGCCCATAGGGGCTATGGGGTCTATAGGGGCTATGGGGCCCATAGGGGCTATGGTGGCTATGGGGCCTATAGGGGCTATGGGGGCTATAGGGGTCTGCAGCCAGCCCTATAGCCAGGTGAGCCTATGGGGGCTATGGGGCCCATAGGGCCTATAGGGGCTATGGGGTCTATAGGGGCTATGGGGTCTATAGGGGTTATGGGGTCTATAGGGGCTATGGGGTCTATAGTGGTCTCTGTCCCCCCCCCAGGACCGTCCCTTTGGTCTCTCCTATGTTCGTCTCTTCGGCCCCCCGGAGGATGCGGCTCCTGCTGTGGCCCCGGTGAGTGACCCCCTCCTGCCCCATAGAGACCCATAGAGACCCATAGAGAGCCCATAGAGACCCATAGGAACCCATAGATACTGCATAGAGACCCATAAACACCCATAGGGACCCCATAGCAACCCATAGAGACCCATAAACACCCGATGGAGACCCATAGCGACCCACAGAGCCCCATAGACACCCATAGAGGCCCCATATTGATCCCACAGAGTCCCCATATTGAGCCACACTGACCCACACCCACCCCCCCAACCCCATATCTTCCCCCTAAGTGCCCTCCTGACCCCATAACTGACCCCCGGCCCATGGCTGCCCCATAAGTGCCCCTTGGCTGCCCCATAGCTACGCCTTAAGTGCCCCGTAGCTGCCCCATAGCTACTCCATAAGTGCCCAATAACGGCCCCATAGCTGCCCCCTAAGTGCCCCATAGCTACCCTATAACTGCCCCATAAGTGCCCCATAGCTGCCCTATAACTATCCCATACCTGCCCCATAGCTACCCCATAAGTGCCCCATAGCTGACCCATAACGTCCCCCTACCTGCCCCATAGCTGCCCTATAAATGCCCCATAGCTGCCCCATAGCTACCCCATAAATGCCCCATAGCTGCCCGGTAACTTTCCCCTACCTGCCACATAACTGCCCCATAGCTACCCTATAAGTGCCCCATAGCTGCCCCATAACTTCCCCCTACCTGACCCATAGCTGCCCTATAAATGCCCCCTAAGTGCCCCATAACTTCCCCCTACCTGCCCCATAAGTCCCCCATAGCTGCCCCCTCCCTGCCCCATAGCTGCCCCATAGCTGCCCCATAGCTGCCCCATAGCTGCCCCATAGCTGCCCCATAGCTGCCCTATAGGTGCCCCATGTGCCCCATAGCTGCCCCGTACCTGCCCCATAACTGCCCTATAGCTGCCCCATAGCTGCCCTATAGCTGCCCCATAGCTGCCCTATAAATGCCCCATACCTGCCCCATAGCTGCCCCATAACTGCCCCATAACTTCCCCCTACCTGGCCCATAGCTGCCCTATAAATGCCCCCTAAGTGCCCCAATAACTTCCCCCTACCTGCCCCATAAGTCCCCCATAGCTGCCCCATAGCTGCCCCATAACTGCCCTATAGGTGCCCCATACCTGCCCCATAGCTGCCCTATAAATGCCCCATAACTGCCCTATAGCTGCCCCATAGCTGCCCTATAAATGCCCTATAGCTGCCCCATAACTTCCCGCTACCTGCCCCATAGCTGCCCTATAAATGCCCTATAGGTGCCCCATAGCTGCCATATAAATGCCCCATAACTGCCCTATAGCTGCCCCATAGCTGCCCTATAAATGCCCTATAACTGCCCCATAGCTGACCCATAACTTCCTCCTACCTGGCCCATAGCTGCCCTATAAATGCCCCATAACTGCCCTATAGGTGCCCCATAGCTGCCCTATAAATGCCCTATAACTGCCCCATAGCTGACCCATAACTTCCCCCTACCTGGCTCATAGCTGCCCTATAAATGCCCCATAAGTGCCCCATAACTTCCCCCTACCTGCCCCATAAGTCCCCCATAACTGCCCCCTACCTGCCCCATAGCTGCCCCATAATTACCCCATAACTGCCCCATAGCTGCCCCATAACTTCCCCCTACCTGCCCCATAAGTCCCCCATAGCTGCCCCCTACCTGCCCCATAGCTGCCCCATAGCTGCCCCATAGCTGCCCTATAGGTGCCCCATGTGCCCCATAGCTGCCCTATAAATGCCCCATAACTGCCCTATAGCTGCCCCATAGCTGCCCTATAGCTGCCCCATAGCTGCCCTATAAATGCCCCATACCTGCCCCATAGCTGCCCCATAACTGCCCCATAACTTCCCCCTACCTGCCCCATAGCTGCCCTATAAATGCCCCCAAGTACCCCATAACTTCCCCCTACCTGCCCCATAAGTCCCCCATAGCTGCCCCCTCCCTGCCCCATAGCTGCCCCATAGCTGCCCCATAGCACCTCACAGGTGCCCCATTCCTGCCCCCTACCTGCCCCATAGCTGCCCCATAACTGCTCCCTGCCCCATAGCTGCCCCATAGCTGCCCCATAGCTGCCCCATAGCTGCCCCATAACTTCCCCCCACCTGCCCCATAGCTGCCCTATAAATGCCCCCTAAGTCCCCCATAACTTCCCCCTACCTGCCCCATAAGTCCCCCATAGCTGCCCCATAGCTGCCCCATAGCTGCCCCATAACTGCCCTATAGCTGCCCCATACCTGCCCCATAGCTACCCCATAACTGCCCCATAACTTCCCCCTACCTGCCCCATAGCTGCCCGATAAATGCCCCCTAAGTACCCCATAACTTCCCCCTACCTGGCTCATAGCTGCCCTATAAATGCCCCATAAGTACCCCATAACTTCCCCCTACCTGCCCCATAAGTCCCCCATAGCTGCCCCATAACTGCCCTATAGTTGCCCCATACCTGCCCCATAGCTACCCCATAACTGCCCCATAACTTCCCCCTACCTGCCCCATAAGTCCCCCATAGCTGCCCCCTAACTGCCCCATAGCTGCCCCATAGCTGCCCCATAACTGCAGTATAGGTGCCCCATACCTGCCCCATAGCTGCCCCATAGCTGCCCCATAGCTGCCCCCTACCTGCCCCATAGCTGCCCTATAAATGCCCCCTAAGTCCCCCATAACTTCCCCCTACCTGCCCCATAAGTCCCCCATAGCTGCCCCATAGCTGCCCCATAGCTGCCCCATAACTGCCCTATAGCTGCCCCATACCTGCCCCATAGCTACCCCATAACTGCCCCATAACTTCCCCCTACCTGCCCCATAGCTGCCCGATAAATGCCCCCTAAGTACCCCATAACTTCCCCCTACCTGGCTCATAGCTGCCCTATAAATGCCCCATAAGTACCCCATAACTTCCCCCTACCTGCCCCATAAGTCCCCCATAGCTGCCCCATACCTGCCCTATAGTTGCCCCATACCTGCCCCCTAGCTACCCCATAACTGCCCCATAACTTCCCCCTACCTGCCCCATAAGTCCCCCATAGCTGCCCCCTAACTGCCCCATAGCTGCCCCATAGCTGCCCCATAACTGCAGTATAGGTGCCCCATACCTGCCCCATAGCTGCCCCATAGCTGCCCCATAGCTGCCCCCTACCTGCCCCATAGCTGCCCTATAACTTCCCCCTAACTGCCCCATAACTTCCCCGTACCTGGACTATACTTGCCCCATAGCTGCCCCATAGCTGCCCCATAGCTGCCCCATAGCTGCCCCATAGCTGCCCCATAACTGCCCCATAGCTGCCCCATAACTGCCCTATAGGTGCCCCATACCTGCCCCATAACTGCCCTATAGCTGCCCCATACCTGCCCCATAGCTGCCCCATAACTGCCCCATAGCTGCCCCATAACTGCCCTATAGGTGCCCCCTCCCTGCCCCATAGCTGCCCCATAACCCCCCTGTTTCCCCCCCCCCCCCAGGTTCGCCGCTTGGGCCCCTTCACCCTCCGGGATGGGAGCCCCTCCCCCCTCCGCCCCCCCGGGGCCCTCTTCTACAAGCGCCCCCCCTCCCCCACAGGTAAGAGCCCCTCCCCCTTTGTGGGCGTGGCCTCAATGGGAGGGGGGGCGTGGCCTCACTAAGCCCCGCCCCCTTCCAGCACCCCCCAAGGCCCCTCCCCCAGGCCCCACTTACGCCGATGCCGCCCTCAAAGCCAGCGCTGGCTCCGCCCCCAAACCCCGGGTAAGCCCCGCCCCCTCCCTTCCCCTTAAGCCCCTCCCCTTCCCTTAAACCCCGCCCCCTTCACCCACCCCCCCATTTCCATTCCAGCCCCCCAAGCGCCGCCCCTCCCCCCGCCCCCTTCCTCCACCAATGGGACGCCGCCGAAGCAGCCCCGCCCCGTCGAGGCCAAAGCCACGCCCCCTCCCGCCCAGGCCACGCCCCTTCCGGCCGCCATCTTGGCCGGCGTCGTCGTGGCCCTGAGTGGCTTCGAGAACCCCCTCCGTGGCCAATTGCGCGCCGCCGCCGTTGCCATGGGAGCCGAGTACAGCCCTGATTGGACAACGCGCTGCACGCACCTCGTGTGAGCCACGCCCCCTTCCACCCCCGCCCTATAGCCCCGCCCCCTTCCCTTAGATCCACCCCTTTCCCCTCCTGGCCCCACCCCCTTCCCTTAGCTCCGCCCCTTTCCCCTCTCTGGCCCCGCCCCTTCCCTTAGCTCCACCCCTTTTCCCATAGCCAAGCTCCTATGCCTTTAGCCACGCCTCTTCTCTTAGCCCCGCCCCTTTCATCCCTTAGCTCCACCCCTTTCACCATAGCCACGCCCCTTTCACCCATCTTAGCCCCGCCCCTTCCATACTTTAGCCCCGCCCCTAACATGCTTTAGCACCGCCCCTTTCCCTTCCTAGCCCCACCCCCTTCCCTTAGCTCCACCCCTTTCCCCGTAGCCACGCCCCTAAGCCTTTAGCCACGCCCCTTCTCTTAGCCCCGCCCCTTTGCCACCCCCTAGCCACTTCCCTTACTGCCGTCCCCCCGTGTGCCCTTCGGCTCCCACCCCCTTCCCTTAGCTCCACCCCTTTCCCCCGTAGCCACGCCCCTAAGCCTTTAGCCACGCCCCTTCTCCTCTTAGCCCCGCCCCTTTATTCCTTAGCTCCACCCCTTTCCCCGTAGCCACGCCCCTAAGACTTTAGCCACACCCCTTTCACCCTCTTAGCCCCGCCCCTTTCCTACTCTGGCCAAACCCCCTTCCCTTAGCCCCACCCATTTTACCGTAGCCCTGCCCCTTCTCCTCTTACCCCCGCCCCTTTCCCTTCCTAGCCCCAACCCCCTTTCCTTAGCTCCACCCATTTCCCCGTAGCCCCGCCCCTTCTCCTCTTAGCCCCACCCCTTTCCCTTAGCTCTACCCCTTTCCCCCGTAGCCACGCCCCTAAGCCTTTAGCCCCAACCCCTTCCATTCTTTTGCCCCATCCCTTTCACCTCTCCTAGCCCCACCCCTTCAATTCTTTAGCCCCGCCCCTTTCCCCTTCTGGCCCCACCCCCTTCCCTTAGCTCCACCCCTTGCCCCTAAGCCTTTAGCCACGCCCCTTCTCTTAGCCCTGCCCCTTTTCACCCCTCTTAGCCCCGCCCCTCCTCCACTAGCCCCGCCCCTTTCCCACCCTGACCACACCCCCTTCCCTTAGCCCCGCCCCTTCTCACATTAACCCCGCCCCTTTCACCTATCTTAGCCCCGCCCCTTCCATTCTTTAGCCCCGCCCCTTTCCCCTCCTGGCCCCACCCCTTCCCTTAGCTCCACCCCTTTACCATAGCCACGCCCCTTCTCCTCTTAGCCCCGCCCCTTCTGCTCTTAGCCCCACCCCTTTCCCTTAGCTCCACCCCTTCCCCATAGCCATGCCTTTAGCCCCTCCCCTTTCCTCTCTTCCCCCCACCCCTTTTCTTTAGCCCCTCCCCTTTCACCCTTTTACCCCCTCCCCTTTAGCCCCGCCCCTTCCCTTCTTTACCCCCTCCCCTTATCACTTCCCCCATTAGCCCCTCCCCTTTAATGCCTTTAGCCCCGCCCCCTCCCATCTTTAGCCCCACCCCTTCCCTTCTTTAGCCCCGCCCCTTCCCCCTTAGCCCCGCCCCTTCTCCATCCCCTTTACCCTCTTACCCCACCCCTCCCTCCCCATAACCCCGCCCCTTTCCCCTCCTCAAGCCCCGCCCCTTTCTCACCCTCTCTCCCCGCCCCCTTTTTAGCTCCGCCTTCTCCCGCACCCCCAAAGCCGCCCGGGCCCGCGCGATGGGGGGGCTCCTCGTGAGCCCTGATTGGATCTGGGACTGCCGGAGGCGGGGCCGCCGCCTGCCCTGCCGCCCGTGAGCACAAGCCCCGCCCCCTTGGGCCCTAAGACACGCCCCCTAATGGTTAAACCACGCCCCCTCTTGGTTGTACCCAGTACCATGTCTTTAAGCCCTGCACACAGCCCTATAGGACCTGAATGGGCTGTGGAAGCCACGCCCCCTGGAGCATAAAGCCACGCCCCTTATTGGTTAAACCACGCCCCCTATTGGCTAAGCCACACCCCCTGTCTTTAAGCCCTGCACGCAGCCCTATGGGACCTGAATGGGCTGTGGAAGCCACGCCCCTTGGGGCATCAAGCCCCGCCCCCTGGGCATCAACCCACTCCCCTTATTGGATAAGCCCCGCCCCCTTTTGTTAAGCCACGCCTCCATTGGCTAAGCCACACCCCCTGTCTTTAAGCCCTGCACCCAGCCCTATAGGACCTGAATGGGCTGTGGAAGCCACGCCCCTTGGGGCATCAAGCCACGCCCCCTGTGCATTAAGCCACGCCCCTTATTGGTTAATCCACGCCCCCTAATGGCTAAGCCACACCCCCTGCCTCTAACCCCTGCACCCAGCCCTATGGGATCTGGGTGGGCTGTGGAAGCTCCGCCCCCTGGAGCATAAAGCCACGCCCCCTAGTTGCTAAGCCACGCCCCTTCCTAGTTAAGCCACGCCCCTTATTGGTTAATCCACACCCCTTATTGGTTAAACTACGTCCCCTATTGGCTAAGCCACGCCCCCTGTCTCTAAGCCCTGCACCTAGCCCTATGGGACCTGAATGGGCTGTGGAAGCCCCGCCCCTTGGGGCATCAAGCCACTCCCCTTATTGGATAAGCCCCGCCCCCTTTTGTTAAGCCACGCCCCCTGTCTTTAAGCCCTGCACCCAGCCCTATAGGACCTGAATGGGCTATGGAAGCCACGCCCCCTGGAGCATAAAGCCACGCCCCCTGGTCATCAAGCCACGCCCCTTATTGGTTAAACCACGCCCCCTATTGGCTAAGCCACGCCCCCTGTCTCTAAGCCCTGCACCTAGCCCTATGGGACCTGAATGGGCTGTGGAAGCCCCGCCCCCTGGAGCATAAAGCCACGCCCCCTAGTTGCTAACCCACGCCCCTTATTGGTTAAAGCACGACCCCTATTGGCTAAGCCACGCCCCCTGTCTCTAAGCCCTGCACCCAGCCCTATGGGACCTGAATGGGCTGTGGAAGCCCCGCCCCCTGGAGCATCAAGCCCCGCCCCCTGGGCATCAACCCACTCCCCTTATTGGATAAGCTCCGCCCCCTTTTGTTAAGCCACGCCTCCATTGGCTAAGCCACACCCCCTGTCTCTAAGCACTGCATCCAGCCCTATGGGACCTGAATGGGCTGTAGAAGCCACGCCCCCTGGAGCATATAGCCACGCCCCCTAGTTGCTAAGCCACGCCCCTTAGTAGTTAAGCCACGCCTCCATTGGCTAAGCCACACCCCCTGTCTCTAACCCCTGCACCCAGCCCTATAGGACCTGAATGGGCTGTGGAAGCCACGCCCCCTGGAGCACAAAGCCACGCCCCCTAGTTGCTAAGCCACGCCCCTTATTGGTTAAACCACGCCCCCTATTGGCTAAGCCACACCCCCTGTCTCTAAGGCCTGCACCCAGCACTATAGGACCTGAATGGGCTGTGGAAGCCACGCCCCCTGGAGCATAAAGCCACGCCCCCTAGTTGCTAAGCCACGCCCTTTATTGGTTAAACCACGCCCCCTGTTGGCTAAGCCACGCCCCCTGTCTCTAACCCCTGCACCCAGCCCTATGGGACCTGAATGGGCTGTGGAAGCCCCGCCCCCTTGCAGTTAGAGCCTGCTGATTGGCCACCCCGTAGAGGGGCTGCCCTAAGCTCCGCCCCCTTGTGGGCGTGGCCTCATTCCCTCCCCCCCCCCCCCAAGGTACCTCTTGGATGGCTCCGCCTCCTCCGGCAGCGAAGAGGAGGAGCCTGATGAGGCCACGCCCCCTGCGGACCCCACCCCTCACGTGACCAGTGGTAAGCCACGCCCCCTCCCTCCTCCTATTCCCCCCCCCCCCCCTCCATTCTTAAAGGGGCCGCACCCCCGCATCGATCCCATCCAATCCCCTTGCAGGAGCTGATTCGGGGGATGACAGCGACCAATCAGAGCCGTGAGTGTTGGGGGGTGCCCCCCCCCACCCTTTATTCCATCCCACCCCCCCCACTGACCCATCCTGCCCCATAGGGATGATCCCTATGGGGGCTCCACGGAGGAGAACAGCGAGGAAGAGGAGGAGGAGGAGGAGGAGGAGGAAGAGCCCGTTCCCCCCTTGCCCGGTGGGTCTGGGGGTACCCCCCATTGGAACCCCATTGGAACCCATAATAACCTATTGTAACCCATAATAACCCCATTGGAACCCATTAGAACCCATTGTAACCCATAATAACCCCATTGTAACCCCATTGGAACCCATAATAACCCCATTGGAACCCATTAGAACCCATTGTAGCCCATAATAACCCCATTGTAACCCATTGTAACCCATAATAACCCATTGGAACCCCATTGGAACCCATAATAACCCCATTGTAACCCATAATAACCCATTGTAACCCATAATAACCCATTGTAACCCCATTGGAACCCATAATAACCCATTGGAACCCATAATAACCTATTGTAACCCATAATAACCCCATTGTAACCCATAATAACCCATTCTAACCCATAATAACCCATTGTACCCATAATAACCCGTTATAAACCCATTGTAACCCATAATAACCCCATTGTAACCCATTGTAACCCATAATAACCCCATTGTAACCCATTGTAACCCATAATAACCCATTATAAACCCACTGTAACCCATAATAACCCATTGGAACCCCATTGTAACCCATAATAACCCATTGGAACCCCATTTTAACCCATAATAACCCATTGGAACCCATAATAACCCATTGGAACCCCATTGTAACCCATAATAACCCCATTGGAACCCCATTGTAACCCATAATAACCCATTGGAACCCCATTGTAACCCATAATAACCCCTTGCAACCCATAATAACCCATTGGAACCCCATTGGAACCCATAATAACCCATTGGAACCCCATTGGAACCCCATTGGAACCCATTGGAACCCCATTGGAACCCATAATAACCCATTGTAACCCATAATAACCCCTTGCAACCCATAATAACCCATTGGAACCCCATTGTAACCCATAATAACCCCATTGGAACCCATAATAACCCATTGTAACCCATAATAATCCCATTGTAACCCGTAATAACCCATAATAACCCCATTGTAACCCATAATAACCCCATTGGAACCCATAATAACCCATTGTAACCCATAATAACCCCATTGTAACCCATAATAACCCATTGTAACCCATAATAACCCATTGGAACCCATAATAACCCATTGTAACCCATAATAACCCATTGTAACCCATAATAACCCATTGTAACCCATAATAATCCCATTGTAACCCGTAATAACCCATAATAACCCCATTGTAACCCATAATAACCCATTGGAACCCATAATAACTCATTGGAACCCATAATAACCCCATTGTAACCCATAATAACCCATTGGAACCCATAATAACCCATTGGAACCCATAATAACCCCATTGTAACCCATAATAACCAATTGGAACCCCATTGGAACCCATAATAACCCATTGTAACCCATAATAACAACATTGTAACCCATAATAACCCATTGTAACCCATAATAACCCATTGGAACCCCATTGTAACCCATAATAACCCATTGGAACCCCATTGTAACCCATAATAACCCATTATAAACCCATTGGAACCCATAATAACCCATTGGAACCCATAATAACCCATAATAACCCCATTGTAACCCATAATAACC